ATGCCTGCACTACCTCAGATATCTATATTCTTTTGTACTTAAAAATGCCCAGCAAAAGACAGGAATGCATTTGCTCCCCTGTACTGCAGCATGGGATCTGGGTTCTTTCAGCAACAGGATGCGACTCCAAGCCCCTCACCGTGTTAGGAGTCGACTAGAAGCTGCAAGCCCTGGGTGAGAGGTCTCCTTTTTTTAAGATCGGCCTTCACCTAGACATAAAAAAAATAATTGTCTTTTTATAAATCTAGATTTTTTAAAGGAACCAAACCCACCAACATTATGTTCCAAGTTCATCGCACATCTTGGCTTCCACTCTGGATGGTAAGTCCATCAAGGCTCAACGCAGAGAAGGAAGCTCTCCAAGAACAGTTTTCTACTCCAGAGGGCTACAGCTGAACCACTCCACTGTGACGAGAGTGGATCTGTCTCTGTGCCCTTGTGTCCTACAGCAGCAAAGACAGTTTTTTTGAGAAAAACAGCCAGCACTTCTTTCATTGGATGATACTGTCTTGTTGCCCATTTTGGGCCACTTGGCTCGGGTCAGAAGTCACTGAGGGATTGGGTGTATTGCTCTGCAGGAATCGACGGAAGTCCTTGATCATGGGGCGCAGCACCTGGATGAGAGCACTCAGAGCAGCCTGCGTTCCCTCCATGGCCTGCGCCTGCCGCTCCTGTGCACAGGCCTGTACCTCCTGGGAGCGACGGATCATCTGCAGCAGGTCATTCTGCTGCTCCAGGTGCTGGGCAATCTCCTTCACATGCAGGTTGGTCACTCGCTGCTCCTGCAAGAGCTTGGCTGAATTTAAGGCAATTCTGCTTTTCAGCTCCTGGGGCTTGGCAGACACCTCAGGTTGATGTGCCATCATCTCCAAGGGAGCTTCAGCAGTAACTGTGGTGGGAGCCTCTGTGGTGCAGTACTCCACGACCCCATCATCCAGACTGTGATAAGTTGTCTCTGTGGGGACTAGAAACAAAGGGAAAAAAAGGTCAGAGGCTGCAACACTTTATGTGAAGGGTTTCACCATTTTTTAGCCCTGCCTCGTTCAAGAGGACCTCTCCAAGGAATATTAAAAAAAGGACACAAGGGAGTCACAAGAGATTGAACAGCACTGGTCAGAAAGTCTTGACTGCTCAGATTTCCCCTGGAACATCTCCAAAGACCCAAACACCTATTTTTACTTGTAGCACTGCAGGTGGTAATGGAGGAACAGCTTCGACTGGACTAAAAAAGAAGTCTTAAATCTATTAATCTCAGGCTCAGAAGGACAAAATAGCTTTAATTCATTCACCCTTATGTCTGTACAGCTGTGTGCACCTGTGAACATCTAAACACTGTAAGTTATAAATAGTCTCCCATTTTGCTGCACTCTGTCCATTGGCCTTACAACCAGAATATAATCAATAGCCACTTGAGAAAGAACATGTAAAAAGAGAACTGCATAGGTCAAGAGAGATCTTTGCCATTAGGTTTTATTTTGGGTTAAAAAAGCTTACTGTTCAAGCTCTCCCTTTGGCTACACTAGCCCCCTTTTGCCAATCTGCTTCATACTTATACTGATATGCACCCACTCAGATTCAGCCATAACAAAACCCAGTGCTGTATCAGCTGTAATCTCAAGTGTGTACAATGTAGAGCTGACAGTCATCCATTCAAACAGCCCTACAGTCCCTGGGGTGTCTGAGATCCCGAGGATGAAGTATGGTAGTATGCTGTATCCCACAGGACCAGCTTGTTTGGCAGGGTAGTGTGTCCTGTCTGCTCCACAGCCTGCCAAGGGAGGCTGGAGCAGCTTGAGATGGGCGAGGGCTCCCTAGGACGTGCAGGCCCAAGACAATGGTTCACATGAATTGCGCCTAATGTGTCCTTGCTGTCGAAGTCAGCCTTCGGCACCTGCACAGCCTAGAGGCGCCCGTCTGGAGCGTGCGGGCTCACGGGGCTGCCGCATCCACTATGCTGAAGACGCCGCGGCTTCGTTTTGCCGCTCTTTGGGGCCGCGAGGAGGGGAATCTTCCGTATGGACGACGGGCTTCCTTGCCGCTGGCCGGGGCCCACCTACGACCTTGCCACTCAGCCCCTGGCCTCCTGGCACTCACTCTGTGTCAGGGTGACGGTGGTGGCAGAGGCCGGGATGGGGATCTCGGCTGCATCCCCGGCTGTGCAGTCCCCGGCTGGCAGGCTGATGATGGTGGCTTCTCCCAGCAGGTTGCAGATGCGCTGCTGCATGGGCGTGAGGATGACGGGGGCGGCGACGGCACCTGCCGGGTCCTCGCTGTCCTGCCCGCCGCCACCAGCAGCTCCGTTCTGGCCCTCACCGCCCCCTTCCATGGCGGCGCGCACCTGGGCCACCTTGCGCCGCACCTCAGTTTTGAGGTCCGACCACTTCTTCTTGACCTCGGGCAGCTCGCGACGGCAGGTGGCCACGGCGTTGACACGCCGCAGGATGTCATGCCAGGCGGCCGCCTTGGCAGCCAGCGGAACGCCCGCATTGAAGTGGTTGATGAGCAGGTGCTTGCCCCGCTCCAGCTCCTCCACGATGATCTCCACCTCGCGCTCCGAGAAGTTCATCTTGCGCTTCTTGGCCGGGGGCGCAGGTGGTGAGGCCATGGCAGCAGGGCTGGGCCCACTAGGCCTAGGGCAGGCCCAGGGGCCTGAGGGCGGGG